ATTTATATGACAGTCTCTGACACTGCACTAGAAGTGCTGGGTGCCAGCATCCATATAATGATATATAAGGTACCACTGGTACCTTGATGGTAAATAAAAAAACCCAAACATTTACTATTTAATATTTACACAACTTCAGATTTTGACCAAAAGATATGAAAGCCTGATTTTTTTGTTGTGGGGCTTTTTTTGTGGGATTTTTTTTTAAAGAGTGTGAAATCTCTCAGTGGTTCCTATATGACACATAGTTTTTTAGCAATATTCTGTAATTGATTTGGGTATCATAGGTACATAATTTCTAAACTAAAGTTTCCATATTGCCAGGAATATCCACTTTTAAAACAGGCAGTGCATGCTCTAGCTATCTGTGTGTAAACCTGTTTGCTTGATTACCAGACAAATTGATGAATGGCTTGTCTTGTGAATCTGGCTTTAAAGAACAGTTATAGCCACTGTTGTAGCTTGGTGAGACGAGTTCATTCCTTCAGCTACCCCACAGCATAGGTGGTGACCTACCTTACACGTTGTTGTAGCCTTCTGAAGGAATGCATAGCCTTGTTCGAGACTTACAATAGGACAGACTGTAAAATGGACCAATTCTTTTGCTGGTTTAGGGTGATGCTGGTGTCACTGGGCGGAAGATCATAGTGGACACTTACGGTGGCTGGGGAGCCCACGGAGGCGGTGCCTTTTCGGGCAAGGACTACACCAAGGTGGATCGCTCGGCCGCCTACGCAGCCCGCTGGGTGGCCAAGTCTCTGGTGAAAGCTGGGCTCTGCCGCCGGGTCCTGGTCCAGGTGGGCTTTGCCAAGAACGTTGCTTTTCTCAAAGAGGTGTTTCCTTTTCAGATTTACTTGGAATACACATTGTACAAGACCCTGTAGTGGGCTGCCCAGGGAGGTGGTGGATTCACCGTCCCTGGAGATTTTTAAACGCAGATTGGACGTGGCACTGAGTGCCATGATCTAGTAAATGGACTGGATTTGGACCAAGGGTTGGACTCGATGATCTCGGAGGTCTTTTCCAACCCAATCGATTCTATGATTCTGTGAAGTGGTTTTGGTGATGGTTTTGGGGTTGAAGAAAGGAAAATTTGATGTGCTTGGTTCAAAACCACTCTAATGTCACCGATATCAGCTCCTTGAAGCTGGAACTGTTCATTTAACTTTTGTTTTATGGGCCATTTTTCTGGACTTTTATTGAGCCCTCAACCCTCTGACACTTACTGTTATGGAAATGAGCATGGGATGACTGGATAATGGGAAGAAAGTCATCCAGAGACCTCAGCATTTTCAAAGCATTCTTTTTTTCTACGAATATAGATTGTGCAAATATGAGAAGTAAAGGAGAGGCCTTAGTCTGCATAAGGAGATTCAAAAATGAATGCTTTCCTCTGCTGCATACTGTTGTTCCCTGAGGTGCTGTGTTTATTGGCTAACTGTGGTGCCTTTTTTCACCCAGGTTTCTTATGCCATTGGGGTTGCTCATCCACTGTCCATTTCATTGTTCACTTATGGAACTTCCCAAAAAACAGAGAAAGAGCTGCTGGACATCGTACACAAAAACTTTGATCTTCGGCCTGGAGTCATTGTCAGGTATAGAAACACACAAAAAGGAAAATATCCTGGTGGTCACGTCCTAGAAGTGGCTTCTTCCAAAATCTTTAGCTGTTATACTGTAAGAGGCAGCCTCTTGAACCAGCAGGGGATTGTTCCATGCAGTACAGGAGGACTTTCTCTCATTCTGTCATTTTGTCAGTATTTACAGTTGACAGTTTTTATGGTTCTCCCCGTGTGCCATATATTTTAAGATTACAGATATATTTTTCAAGTTTCATATGCAACATATACTTTCAGCAATTGACCTTCAATAATATATGGAATTTAAATAAAACAACTTCTGTATTCCAAGAATTTTATATTACTTTGCTGTGAATATATTTTGTTTTACAAAATTAATTGAAGATTATTTCATGTTTTCACCTACAATTAATAACTCACAATAATAAGACCTGCAGTCCTAAAGTACTCGACATTTAATTTGTGTTGTCACTTTTATTGTCCCCATTGGACACGTTCACTGGTGTGCTTGCATCTCCAGAATATGCTTGTTCGACTAAGGGTGTGAAATGGCTTTCAACATCAGGATTTTAATAGTAGTTATCATGAAGTATCTTAATATGACAAATTTTCTCTTCTTTTTATTATATACACAGGGATTTGGATCTGAAAAAACCCATTTACCAGAAGACTGCTTGTTATGGTCACTTTGGAAGAAAGGAATTCCCTTGGGAAATGCCTAAAAAACTTGTCTTTTGACATTAGCTGTCACCTCTTAAAAACAGAAAGGAAGTCCACTAATGATGAGGGTGCTTCTGAAAATCAAATTTGACAGCTTTGCATTCAACAAAAGGAATTTTAGATTTTAAATGGAAAGAAAGAAAAGGATATTTTCTTGGAAATTGATTTTTTTTTAACCCTCAGTGTCTTTTATTATCCAAGATATAATGGACAGAGTCTGTTTTTTCAATCAGCATAAGACAACAAAATACAGTTTACTCTTAGCTGCTGCTCTGTTGGTTCTTTTCATAAAGACAAAGTGTGACTCAGGTACTCAAACCAATAGCTGAACCTCAAACCTTTGATGGGCAAAGGTGAAGACAACTTTCCCAACTCTGACTAAGGATCAGCAGATCTCTTGCTTCTAATTAGATGATGGGAAATTCTGGGGTCCAATTTCCTTACTGGAGTTAGCATTGCATACAGTTGGGGGTTGCTTTGATGGGAGAAGGCTGAATATCACACAACCCTATCTTGGCCTCTTTTGTAAAAGATGTTATCCTATATGTAATATTTAAATCACTGTCACTGTATATGTGCTGTTATTGTTGTGTTTCAATTACCTGTGTTTTTGAAACATAAGTGGTCTCCTATGAAACAACAATCATAGAATAAAAAGCTTTTTCCTACCCTGAATGTAAAGGGGTCTCTTTTTCTGTGTTTTGGGTTTTTTTAATATTGCAGTGTAATGGTTCATCTCAACTCAGCCTCTTATACTCTTGTAGGATTTTAGTTTACCAACATAATTGAATTTTTTTATTAGATTTTGGAATTGTGATACAAATTTGCCTTATAATACATGTGTGATTGCTCTTTAGTCCTTGTGATTAGTAGAACCTTGGTGAATAAGTATTCTTATTTGTGACTCTTAGGTTGGTGTTATACAGTATTCTTTCATAATTTTTGCTCCCAAATTTTAGGTTTATTGCATGGCTTTCTGTATTGGATGTAATTTGGGAATATAGTAAAGCACAGAGAAATAACTGCAACATAACACAAAGCATGAGGTTAAAATTTGGCCAGAGAGCTGGGCCCTAGCTGGCTGTGTGTGCCCCAGGGGCACAGAAAAACATCCTTGGCTGTGGGGTTTGGGTACTGCTGGGTGGTGTGCCCCGTTACTCCTGCTGGAGCCGGGGACAACCTCTGCTCCTGACAGGTCAGGGTTGCTGCTGTGCACGTGGGCTGGGTTGGTCCAGGCTGAGGGCAAGGACGTTTTTGTGCCCATGTGCTGTGTTCTCCTAGATTGTGGTGAACTACTTTTCGCAAAGGACTGTGGATTAATCAAAGGTTTGTTTAAATTTGAAGGCTGTGAGATCTTCTGTGATCAGCTTTGTTTGTCAGTAGGCAACAAGGGGAACTTAATTCTGAAATACAAGGGTTATCTGTGTATGGCCCCCAAGAGGGACTTCGTGGTTTACCCAGCTTTCTGTTAAATCTTCTACGCTGGAGAAATGCTGCCACCCCGTGTTTATCTCCTAACTAAATGTCTTTGTACAGTGCCTCCCAAATAGATGTGGTGGAGAGTGGCTGACCGTGATGAATGCTAAAGGAAAAGCTGCCATTTATTCCTGTCAAGTATGTCATAAACACAAAGTCTATCTGGTCAAGCCAGAGGTTGTTCCACTTTATTGATTACACTAATGTTCCTGAGATGGCATAAGAAGACACTTCTTTGTGAATGTGCTGGATGTCTTGCTGTTGGCTTAACTTCTTCAGGATCACCTGGTCGTAATACATCAGACTACAACCAACAGAAGCAAATGAATGAAAAATTTTAAAAAAAAGAAACCTGAGAAAGTAAGTACCTTATAGATAAATGTGGTGCGTAACACAGCGCAGAAGCAGCATGTCCATGTCTCAACAAAAAAACCCACCTGCGGACAAAATGAACAGTTCTGCTCTGGTAGTGACAGCAACAACCATTAAAGGTTTGTTGGAGAGGAGGGGTGGGTGGGGGTTGTGTCTGTAGCTGGGTGATGGCCAGGCAAGGCTTGGCAGTGTGTGTGTGTGTTGGGGTGACAGGCTGTCAGATGAAAGGCTATGACTGTGAACCCTGGATTTTACAGATGGGGTCAGCACACCCCTATCATGTTAGCAGTAGCTGGATAATTGGATTAATCTGCTAGTAAATGTGTAGGGTAAATGATCAAACTTCTGTGGCAATTCTACTAGTTATTCAGCTTTTCCCATTAGTGGATATGAGCATATGAGGTTCATGGCTCCATGAAAAAAAAAAAAAGTAGCTAAATTCTGGATGCTACAGGATACAGGGTATAACCCCTTGGTTCAAATCAGTTGTCATTTCATGTTCTGAGCTTTCTCTTGGACCATAAGATATGAGGTGGAGCCCTGTAGGTAAGGCATTCTTATGTCTTCTATGAGAGTATGTGTGTGAGAGAGACAGACAAACAGAGACAGATGGGAAGGTAGATAGAGAGCAAGAGCACACAAGAATGTGCATACACTAAACATGTTTACAGTAAACCAGTTAATCTGAAAATTTCCCAGTGGAGTTGGCAGCAGCAGAGAAGCCGATCCGGCTCAGTACCCTAAAGAGAACGGCCCTTGCCCTCTGTAAACCCTGCTGGCAAGCTCTCCTTGGGCTTCCTGGCAAGTAGGGCAGCATGTTCATCCCCCTAATCCCTTATCACAGCTCTGCCTTGGAGCCAGGCCCACTGTAAACAACCAGTGACCCAGAGACAGGCAGCTTTGTGCCTGACTCCAGTGCTTTTGCTCCTGGGCACCACAAGCAACAGGTAATTAGCCCCTGGTCTCCTGTAGGAAAAAAATGTTGTTCTGCTCCTGCCCACTCTGGAAAACACTGGTTTTCCTAAGTTCAGCACTGCTTCTTGCAGGTAAGTTATTGCCATTCTTGAATATGGTTAACAATTATTAGTATTATTAATAATTAGTATTATAAATTATAAATTAATTTTATAAAAATTAGTATTAATAATAATTATTAGTGGCTGTCTTACAGAAGTGAAGGACCCTGCTCAGGAACCCAGCCCCAAGAGGCCACAAACGATGTTCAGATTGCTAACTGCTTCAAATAAATCAGTATTTGTACAGCTTATTCACATTTGAGCCTTGATCACCTCAGGTATACAAGGCAGGACTAGGACTGCAGGATAGTGGCACAATTCCTCTAAATAAGCACTATGATGTGGTATTTGGGCTTTGTTGATGTGTCAGGAAGGATTATTACATTGCTAAGTACCTGCTTCTGCTTGTCTTTTAGATTTTACTGAAATCGGAGCTTTTGCCAGTCCAAGTGAATGCGAAAGTGCAACCATAGATGATGTGAATGAGAGTCTTGAGGTAAGAGCTTGGCTGCACTGGCCACCCCAGGGCCTGCTCTGCACCCCCCTCCTGTGCTGGTGGGCTCCTGCCACCTCTGCCTGGGCTGGCTGGGCCAGCAGGACTCATGTACTGCTTTGGCAACGTGCAAAGAACGTGCTGGGGAGGGAGGGGAGGACATACAGGAGCAGAAAAATATCAGTGTCATTTGCCTTGCCATGTCTTTGGTCCTGCTACTGCTAGACCAAAAAATGTCCTTGTGGATTTATTTTCCAGTTTTGCTTTGCTCTGGATATATATAAAGTGGCTTTAACATAAACAGTATAGCTATATAAATAACAACAGCTAGCTAAGAATTCGTTAACTTCTTTGTTTGCACACATTCACAAACAGATTTTTTTTTTTTACACACACAAACATACAGAGTCTGTAAGGTGTCAGCATTCAGAAGATAAGTGTAACAAACCAGTGTTTTATATAGAAATAAAGTACATACAGTTATTTACAAAGGCATCTTTTCATATATAGGAAGAAAACCACCAAACCACCAGTCCTCTTCTTGAGCTCGATATGATGGAAAAATCCTATCTAGTCACAGTTTTAAAAGAAAGCCAGATTTCTTCCAAAACACTGTAGGGAGATTAGGATTACTGAAAGCTATACAATTTTCCAGATGGTTCTTGTTATGTATTAAGGAAAAAAAGAAAAGGAAAATTATCTGACCACATTAATTAATTAACTCCAAGGCTCCAATGTTTTTCCTCTTAAACTTAGACATTTTCTCCCTTATCCCAATAGAAATATTCAAAATGCCTTCCTGAAATGATTGCCAAGGGTAAGAAAGCTTCAATCAATTCCCTTGTCTGGACACTGCAAGAAACACTTGATCTCCTGCGCCCTGTTCAAGAGAAATGTGAGTCCCCTCCTGTACCAACACTCCCCTTTGCTGGTTAAGTGGCAGTGGAGAAGCACTAAGAAAATTTGTTCTCCCTGTACTCATAGTAAGCCAAATATCTGCATTTCTTTGGGGGAAATAAGCAGCAGGAGGTACAGGTGCTTAACCACTGGGCTGGCAGGGGCTGGGGAGGCACAGCAGCACAAATACGAGCAGTCCCTCTGTTCCTGCAGAACAGAGTATGCTAGTCATATTTTTCCAAGAAATATTTGGATAGTTTTGGCCATAATAGTACTGAATGTCAGTGCTGTGAACGTGAATACCCCTTTGAGCCACCTTACCACCAAAGTGTAACTGGTGCTGACACTGTTGTGGTGGGAAAGTGATGGGAAAGTTGGGTGTTGCCAAAAAAATAAAAAGGGGAAAAAAATCTTCAAACAAGCGAAAATGCTTACTTTGACAGTCAGCTAGTGGGGGCAGTTATCAACCATACCCAAGAGTTTGCTTGGGAAGGGGAGACTTTTATAATCACTTTCACTCTGATACATAGTTTTCTTGCTCTTTTGTTTGTTTGTCTGTTTGTTTTGTTTTGTTTTGGTTTTTTGTGGTTTTTTTTGTTTTGGTTTGGTTTGGTTTTTGTTTTTAATCCACTCAAAAGTTTGCAAGCAGCTGCCTCCATGCCCTCTCCCACTGGCCCCAAGGAACGGTGGGCTGGTGTGTGTCACCACCGACAGCGCTCAGTACTGCAAACCCATGTGCAACAAGGTAACATCCGTGGCTTACTGCTGCTATATTGCTGCATCCACGCAGTAATTTACAGCTGTTTATTGTGTAATGCATAATTTTCCTTGCTATACCATTTGTGTTCCTTAGAAGGATTGGTTGTAGTGTTTGTATTGATCTTCGCTGGCTGAATGTTTCTTCGTCTTACAGTTACCATGACCTATCCTAAGACACTGTTTGTTTATTTGCTCCCTGTCATTGTTTCCCAAGGGTTATGACTTTCAGTTCCTCAGAAGCAGCAGACTGTATGAAGCATGTGGTAATACCACTGGGTTTTCCTGGACCACGCAGTTTGTTGGGGGAAAGGAACTGGCTGTTTGCAACCGTAAGTATTCCTCAGACATATCTGTTCCTGAGGACAGGAGGCTCTGGCTCTTTTGTTTAAAAAAAAAGGAGGAAAGAAAAGGTTTTCTTTCTTGGCACGTGTGACAACCTAGGCATGTGTGACATTTTGAGAGCTAGCTCTGGGCTGGCAAATTGCTGAATGAGAAATCACGTTAGCTTTAAAACTATCACAAAGGCCTGAGCACTGCCATTTCAGCGTGGGGTAGCAAATATGACACATATGCAATATTTGTGGGAAGATGCACCTTTTTTTTTTTTTTTTTAAACAGGAAATTGGTATCACCTTGACACAAACCCCCTGTTGCACAAAGTCTGTGTGACCCACTGGACAGACAGCAGTAGAGTATAAAACTGTTTATCTTGCAGCAGTACTTGAAGAATCTCAGTAAAATTGGCCAGCACCTGCACTATTCCCTGTGTGTACACAATAAACCCCAGCAGCTGGTCCCCAGCCAGCGTCTTCATGCAGCAGCCCAAGGGTTTTAAGTCTGCTCCCTTTGTGCCCATTGAGCAATCTGTGACCCTAAGCAGGCTGTCTGACTCTGTTGTTATTGCCTTAATTTAAAAATAAAGGTGCACATAAATACACAAACAGGCTACCCTATCCCTCCTATGGTTAGTGGAAAAATATTTTACTGTTGACAGTGCCTTGTTGCTAAAGCAGTTGTTTTCTAAGGCTTAACAAAAGCAATCATCTAGGCACTTTTATTCCAAGTTGAAGACTAGTCTAGCACTTGTTTAAAGACCAGGACAAGTCTAAGCTAAGTAATTCAGCTGCCTTTTTTTTTTTTTTAATTTTCCTTTTGGTCATCTTTGATCTTTCCAGCCTCTGAGATGGCCATCGGTGGAGCTAAATCTGCCTATTTCCCCAGCAACAGCACCTGTCTGCACACAGTAGCCTTCCCTGAAACTCAGAGAGAGCAGCTAAACATCTTCCTGAAAGAGCTTGCTGAGCAAGGCATTGACAGCTCCAAACGGGATGAGGAGGCTGATTGTATCATCTGCGGTTACTAGCACCAAAAAGCTTGTGCCACAGACCAGCCAGCTGCCTGCAGTCTGACATGGGTATTTTGACAAGAGAAGCAGAGCAGTGAAATCATTTCTAAGACATGTAAGCATACAGCTTTTGTTTAGTTAAAGGACTAGAGACCATAGTCATAATATGACCTCAGCTTTGGCGTACAGAGATATAGATTAAATCGAATGACATCGCTCATGGTGGAAGTGTTTCAAAGAAAGAAGTTCACTTTTATGGCTTAAATTTGTCTAGCTGGAATTAAATAAGAATTACAGTTTTTTAATGGATGCAGTCATTATTTAAACACACTAATTGTTATCAGAAATCGTTCTCTGTCAGGGGTCATCTTTGATGAGAAAGGGCCATAGTTCTACTTACCTTTATAGTTGCCAATTAATCACTATTGTTGCTCTGATGAACATTAAAACAATGAATGTCATAACAGTTACTGGTTGTAGGGATGTAATTCTTTATTCATGTGCCTGCTTGACCGGGGTTTAGAACATCAGCAGAAAACCTGTCCATTGTCCACCTGGCACTTGGGGCAAGTGAAGACCAAAGACAGCTTAGCCCTGGTAATCCAGTTAATTTGTGGAGCTGTAGCTACCAAAGAGATGTGCATGTGAATTATTATGAAATGTAAACAAGAAGCTTAGTTATTGCTTGGTTTTCAGTGGAATCTGTGCTTGTAGTTATATTTTCATTTTCTTCTGTTGAGCAAACACTGAAGCTGTAGGTCTGAAGACAGACAGCTCATCTGTTTGTGTTTCCTTTCCCTTCTTTACCTTTTTCCTATTCCTGTCAATCTCTCAGCCACAGACAGCATAGTTTTGTGCTAGATGATGTATAATTGACCTTTACATCATTAATTGGATAAATGATTCAGATATATATTTACATCTCATATTTCAGACTTAAAATCCAGTCATTACAAGCAAAAGAAAACAGCAGCTGCTTTTGGGCCCAGGAGCAGACAGTCATATGACAATGAATAGAGCAGATAATTACACCAGCAAAGGGATGATTTGGCTGCTTTGGCTGCTTATAAACCATGCAGCAGTAACTTAAGTCATTGTGTTGGAGACAAAAGTGCTGTAGTCTTAAAGAAAAGCAATGGCTTTTGAGTCACTTGTGAGTTTGTTTATTTCTGTCAAACAAATGATCTCTATCAAATGAAATTGTAATGGGTTTGAGTCTTTTCAGCCAGTTCATTAAAGCTGATGTTCAGCTAAAATATCTGGAGCAGTTTCCAGTATATTTTTTCTACTGGTGTTAAAAAACATTTTTTCTCTCAATTATATTAATCTATTTGGTGACTTCCTAAACCAACCAAAAAAAGAAAACTAATATTGTATTTCGTAAGGAAATCAAATCCATTGCTCTTGTAAATGAACAGAAACTATTAAATCTGTTTAATTAAATTAATTCTGTGTGTCAGGAATCCTGATAATGAGCATCACATAATGTGGAAGAATTAGGCTGGAAAGCTTTAATATGATGTGTCATAAATTTGATATTAAGCTGGAGATTGGGTTGCTGGGTGGTTTTGTTTTTGTTTTTTTTTCCAAAAACTTGCAGAGAAACAGTTTTGTTCTATGCCCACCATCCAAGTTATTATTTATATATTAGAAAGGGAGGTTGACCCAATAAGCCTCTACAAGACAGTTAAAAAGTAAAGTCAACTTAATAATATTATTTCCCAAAGTAAATTTGCAGAATTTATTTCAGGCAAACAGTTGCTGTATGTTTGCATTAACCTCACGTTGGTGTCTGGCTGGGCATGTCTGAGCATTGGGCCATCCCTCATGCTCCTGCTCCAGGATGGTGGGGGGCTTTGTGTTCTGGCACTTGGATGTTGCAGAGAGAAGAAAACTCATATGGAAGGAAAGACATTAAGAACATTTTAGGTGAGTAAGTTTTCAGATCAGACAAAAGAAGCACAATATGCTTATTTATTGCACCATTCTCTGATTATTTATTTTTTTAGGTTCTGCAATACAACCAGACTAAAGTACTACCTCCCTAGAGTATCCTGCATGCTTCTGATAAGTTCACTTGCATAACTGTCAGTCATCTCAGCTAGAAGGCTTTGGTAATATTTACAGTGTAACTATAAACAGGGAGGCTTTCCTGATATTAATTAAGGAAATACAATGCTGCATTATGCTTGCTTCTCTTTCAGGCCATTATAACACAAGAGAAGAACTCAGTCTAGGAACTGAGCCAATAACAGTAATTAAAATATAGCCAAAAAATGAAAGGCAAAGTGCTCAGAACTGTAGTTCACGACGACAAAATCACACCCATTCTCTACTCACAGGAACTAAGCAGCAATAGACTGGTAAACCCGCTGCTTTTGGGTGGATCTTGGGCAGAAAGAGCGATCCTGAGAGATGCGATCGTTCCGAACCATGCTCTGCAGGGAAGGGTGGTGTGGCGGCTGTTTGCAGGGCTGGCTCACACCGAGCCCTGCAGGGAGACCTGCGGCACACGCTTCATCCTCCAGAGCACCACGGCAGCGGGGGGCAGGAGCATGAGCAGACTCATGGCCAGCACTGCGGCGAGGATCACCAGCAGGATTTGCCACGGGGCCAGGACTGTTTCCACCGTTATTTCCTCCATTGCAAGAGTCCGAGGCTGTAAAGCAAAGAGGGACACTGCATTATTTTCTTTCAAATGGGACTTACGATCTGTGTACATGTGTTTGCTTTAGCCAGCCTGGGCTCTTGCCCTCCCGGCGGGTTTTCCTTCTGGCCTTGGGAACGATTCCCTTTCCTTGGCTGCTGGTCCGGGATGGCTTTTTCCTTTTCCTTTTCCTTTTCCTTTTCCTTTTCCTTTTTTCCTTTTCCTTTCCCTTTCCTTTTTCCTTTCCCTTTCCTTTTTCCTTTCCCTTTCCTTTCCTTCAACTGATTCTACAATCTTTGATATTTTAGTAGGTCACCAATTCCACTAAATTATGCTAATTAAGTATGCTAAATAAAACCAGACATTTACTATTGAAATTCCAGTATCTTCTACAAACAGGGCTTACAGCTCCCATATTGTCTGCATATGAGAGCTGCTCAGTGAGATACAAAGATGAACTCCCAGGTGCTTTAGCACAACTGGAGCTGCAGAACACTTCTTGTTTTGCAGAGGTGTGAACATTCTTCTCCCAGGCACATAATTATATTAATGGAAAAGCAAGTCAAGAGGCATAAACCAGCAACAGTGATGACTTGTTCTGCTTCATTTTCCATGCAGTCAGTGATTTAAATATTTAGCCTTCAAGTGGGGGAAAGCAAGTGCTACTGTGTACTTGTTCTCTAACTTAACTGCCAACTTCCTATTAATAGTTAGAGATAATTACACATGATTTGTTTTCTGAAGAGGGAGGTCATTGCTGCTGCAATGCCCATAGTGTGCCTTGTAATCTTGTGCACCTGCAGAAAGGTGAATTTCTCTGCCACTTCTTGTGTTACAAGCAGAGGTAGGAAATGGTAAGAACATGAAAAGTTTTGAAACGTGGATGTCTGGCACAATCATGGACTTGAAATGAGGGGGATGATCAAGAGATAACTATACTGCAAGTTAAAAGCATCACTTAAAACTCCTTCCTATAGGAGCCAGAAATCAAATTAATGAGTTTGGTACCTAAGAGAAAAGGCTGCATTTCAACTATATAAAACCTTAGAAAGATCTAATGATGCTGCTTTGATCTCTAGAGGGCTAAACCTTTCAAACCAAGAGTGTATGAAAATTCTCAGAATCATTAAATATTAAAAGAAATTTCATTGAACTTGTTTGTTATAAATATCTCCCTCTACAAATAACACTTGAATTCAGTGCTAATTGTAATAGTTCAGTATTCATTTATGCAGGATTTCAGTATTTATAAAGCATGCTGTAGTTTAGTCTGATTAAGTAAAATGTGCATATATTTAGCTTCCTGTGAGTAAAGTCACAGCAGGACAAAAATCTAGCTTAAAATACTTAAAAAAAAATATGAAATTTGGGTGAAGAAATTAAATATGTGAAACCTGGGAGAAGATTTTGAAAAAGAAAGTTATGATGAAGACAGAGAATATTTAATAAGGTAAAAATAGTATAGCACACTATTGGCATTATGCTGATCATGCCTTTAGTTTCACCTCACTTCCAAAGGAAGCATGTGATTACAATAAAAGTTAAAATGCAAGAGAATTTTCTCAGATGTTATTTAAAGGAATCATCAATCACACTTTCTGGACACAAAGATTTTGACTTTTATATTTTGTTTAATGTCAGATAACACATTCTGACATATGTCTATTATTTTCCTGATTATTGAATGTGTAGCAGAGATGAGTTACCTACATCTGAGTCAAACAGACATTTCTTGTTCTGAAATATTTAGACTTTAAACACATTTGAATTACTTATGCAAACTGATCTAAGTTTAAAAGGAGAAAAAAGCATTGCCCTATGCAATTTACTTGCAGACATAATTCTAACTATTTAGCAAACTATTTTGATATTAGTGAACTTAAAATAAATTATATGAATAGCAACTCTACAGTTTCTTCTTCATATCTTCCCTGCTGACAACCTTTTAACCAAATGAGAAATAATTTAACTATCCCTTTATTTTTGCAGGAATGCCATGAAGCAGTTGAATTTGTGTTGAATTTTTTCACCTTTCTCAGCTTGACTACCTGAAATAAGTTCTGGCTTTCTCTAAAACTTGTGTGGCCCTGTAGGTATTCAGATCTTTTCTATCTGCTCTTACCTTCTCAGTGTCCTCAAGGTGTCTTGCACAAAAAATCGTGTTGCTTCGTTTGGGTGTCCATCCTCCACCCTCAGGCAGCAGGAGCCTGTGTTAGAGGTGTTCAACCTGCAGAATGAAGGAGGGAGGGTGAGGGCAGCGTCCCCTCACCTGTGTGAGGCTCAGGTGAGCACAGCAGTGTACACAGGTACTTGTTTGTTCAGTGGTACTTGTGTTGCCTCCCACTTGGTGTTCTTAAAGTGGCACAATCCTTTCCAAACAACTGATGAAAGCTGGCCTGCCTTGACTGCAGTTTGCTTGGAATCAGCAAAACAATAGCTGGCTGTTTCCACATGCACAAGCTGCTTTAGGAGACAGTCACTTGTAGTGTAAACTGATGGCCACTTGGGCTTTCCGTGTAAATCATTTTATTTACTCAGAAGTGAGTAATCTGATTAATTCATATTCTGACTGATTATTATTATTATTATTATGAATAGCACATGCAGCTTCAGAGATGAAGGTCACTGCAAATTCAAGGGGTTCATACACCCACATCTCTTCCAACTATGCATGTTCTACAACCTACTTTGCTACTTACAGGCTTAGCTTTATTTACATATCTGAGAAATCACAGCTATGCTCAGGCTGCTGCAGTATCTACTGTACAGAGTAAAGAGCATGTAGAAACGTTTTCAGAGGCTTTGCTAAGCCAGCTCTGGCTC